AGTACAAAAATTATTAGTAATACTTTTAAGTATTATAAGTGGTGTAGTAGAAGTTAAATTAAAGTATCTCACACACACACACAAACACACACACGTAATATTGTCAATCCTTCCCCCTCTTCCGAAACAAACCCCAGCACCTCCCCTCCCCTCCTTCCCAAATATACAAATACACAAAAAACCAAATGATAACCGCATATCTGGAGCACTGGAATCTTGGAGCTCGAGCATTTACATTAGGCTAGACCTATATTTGTTAGCCTACTAGCCTATCTTCCTTATTGTTCAGAGATTTTAGTATCTCAGTATTTCTATTCCTCATTAATATATATATTTATTAATATTTCAAAACACATTAATATGCTTTCGCCATTTATCACATTATAATTATTGTTATTAGTATTATTGTTATTATTATTATTATTGCTCCCCTAGAAAAAATGTACGCAGCTGAGCGCCCCACTTCCTTTTTCGTGTCTTCTGAGCGCCCCACTTCCTTCTTCGTGTCTTCTGAGCGCCCTCTTCTTTCTTCGTGTCTTCTGAGCGCCCCACTTCCTTCTTCGTGTCTTTTGAGCGCCCATCCTGTCTTCGTGTCTTCTGAGCGCCCATCCTTCTTCGTGTCTTCTGAGAGCCCCACATCCTTCTTCGTGTCTTCTAAGCGCCCATCCTTCTTCGTGTCTTCTGAGCGCCCATCCGTCTTCGTGTCTTCTGAACGCCCATCCGTCTTCGTGTCTTCTGAACGCCCATCCGTCTTCGTGTCTTCTGAGCGCCCCACTTCCTTCTTCGTGTCTTTTGAGCGCCCATCCGTCTTCGTGTCTTCTGAGCGCCCATCCTTCTTCGTGTCTTCTGAGAGCCCCACATCCTTCTTCGTGTCTTCTAAGCGCCCATCCTTCTTCGTGTCTTCTGAGCGCCCATCCGTCTTCGTGTCTTCTGAACGCCCATCCGTCTTCGTGTCTTCTGAACGCCCATCCGTCTTCGTGTCTCCTGAGCGCCCATCCATCTTCATGTCTTCTGGGGGCCCCACTTCCTTCTTCGTGTCTTCTGAGCGCATATCCTTCTTCGTGTCTTCTGAGCGCCCATCCGTCCTCGTGTCTACTGAGCACCCATCCATCTTCGTGTCTTTTAACTGCCCCACTTCCTTCTTCGTGTCTTCTGAGCGCCCACCCGTCTTCGTGTCTACTGAGCGCCCATCCATCTTCGTGTCTTTTGAAGGCCCCACTTCCTTCTTCGTGTCTTCTGAGCGCCCCACTTCCTTCGTCGTGTCTTCTGAGCGCCCGTCTTTCTTCGTGTCTTCTGAGCGCCCATTCGTCTTCGTGTTTTCTGAGCGCCCCACTTTTTTCTTTGTGTCGCACCCTTGCTGAACAAATTTATTTTCATACACATCAGACAAGCGTATATATGTATATATATATTACAGCGTTACTTTGACAGACAAATAGACAATTAGGAAACAAAATAACAACGACTACTTTACATTTTAGCGCCAAACTAGCGGCATAGTATGCGGCCATGTTTGACAGCCTTATCTTTGATGGACTGGCATCGGTCTTGATACCCTCGTTCGTCACATTTCACACCAGCAGGTAAATGTTGTACTGTGTGATGTGCCCAACTCCCTTCCTCGTCAGTGTTTCATGTTGTTACAGTGAGCCATTGTGTACGCTTCCAGGCAACTCTTTGGGAGCTTTTAATCAGGTTACATCTAGAGCCGTCGTGGTGTAGCAGGTAGACGCCCTCTGCAGATCCGAAGGTCGTGAGTTGAAAACGGCATGCAGCCGGATTTTTTAAACATGACCCTGGCTAAGGAGTCGTTCCCGTTTTAAATGGATACCAGGTGAAATTTCTTTGAAGTAAAGGCTGCCGGCTTGATGCTGGTTCTGTCTCCCATAAAGAGACGATTGCTCTATTAAAATTATAGTCTATTAAACAGACAGAAAGACGGTCGCTTCTTTGTCTTCTTCTTCTTCTTCTTCTTCTTCTTCTTCTTCTTCTTCTTCTTCTTCTTCTTCTTCTTCTTCTTCTTCTTCTTCTTCTTCTTCTTCTTCTTCTTCTTCTTCTTCTTCTTCTTCATTCTTCTTCTTCTTCTTCTTCTTCTTCTTCTTCTTCTTCTTCTTCTTCTTCTTCTTCTTCTTCTTCTTCTTCTTCTTCTTCTTCTTCTTCTTCTTCTATTTCTTCTTCTTTTTTTTTCTTTCTTCTTCTTCGTCTTCTTCTTAGTCTTCTTCTTCTTCTTATCTTCCTTTTCTCTTCTTTCTTCTTCCTTTCTTCTTCCTTCTTCTTCTTCTTGTTCTTTCTTTCTTCTTTTCTTTCTTTACTTTCTTTTTCTTTCTTTCTTTCTTTCTTTCTTTCTTTCTTTCTTCTTTACTTTCTTTCTTTCTTTCTTCTTTTTCGTTCTTTTATCTTCTTCATTTTCTCTCCAACACACCAAGTATCTTAATGGGTAAACTGGATCGCAGAAACGAGCTTGTAAAGAACAGTGTCGATGAGATACGGTACATGGGCATCGAAAACTCAACGCGTCTTTCTGGGCTTGCCCTGGGAATCACAATTGTCTCCCGTTCTCTTCAATGTGTGCACATCATTAGTCACCAGTGCACAGATAGTAGGTCTGGGCAGAAAAATGACGTTAGCAGACGAAATACTTGTGTACCGACAAGGAAACAAAAAGGATGAAATTACAACAATGCTACAGCATGGATTAGACTGGCTCAGTGAGTGATGCCAGTAATCAAGGGCACAGGTAAACCCGGCAAAGGTTTTCTTAACGTAGTTCTTCTTGACTACCGACATTGTCAGTACACCAACGCCAGTCGTGAGTCTGTGCCGTATAGAGATCGACAGAATGAACACAATGAGATACCTTGGCATTACTTTCGACAGATGCTTGTCATGCAAGAATCACGTAGAGAGTGTCATAGCTAGAGCCAGGAATTGGCCTGAAGGCGCTAAAGGCGATGACCTATGCTGACATTGAACGACGCCTACCTTATTGTTTTATCGTGGACTTGTACTAAGTTTCATAGAATACGGTCTAGAAACTCCTCACTGTCATTAGAACCCAGCTGGAAAAACTGGACTGGGTACAAAATGAAGCCACGAGACTCATACGCGGCTGCGCAAAAGGCACCTCTCGTCACGCCATGCGATATGTTCTGGGTTTACCGATAATGGCTACCAGACATAAAGTGGCACAGATGAAAGCGTAAATGAGGATATCAGCAGACATCAACCACCCACTGCACAAAGCTAGCATTGATATAACAGGGATGAGCAGCAGCATACCCCTACAGACCAAGTTTCGCGACCGGGCGACCCTTCGGCGACCCGTTGCCGGACAATGGCTCGTTCGACCCAGCGAATCTTAGGGCCTTCAATATTTGTCAGGTGGCTACCCATCCGTGCGCACCCCGGGTGGCCGCGCATTAGGATCCCCATGAGATTGCGAATGGCATTATTAATTTTAAGTTAGAGAAATATGCAGCGTAGAATATACAGCCCGATGGAGGCATAAAGGATTTGCCCGCAC